CCCTTCCCCTGTCCCGGCACAGCCGCCCGGTCCGGGCACGGCAATCCCAGCACGGACCAGGCCCCTTCCCCTGTCCCGGCACAGCCGCCCGGTCCGGGCACGGCAATCCCAGCACGGACCAGGCCCCTTCCCCTGCCCCGGCACAGCCGCCCGGTCCGGGCACGGCAATCCCAGCACGGACCAGGCCCCCTCCCCTGCCCAGGCGCGGCCGCCCCGGCACAGCCGCATTAGGCGGCGGCCCTCGCGCGCCGCTCGGAGGGGCGGGGCCCGGCGGGGCGGGGCGCGGGTGCGCGGGAAAGCGGCCGGCGCGAGCGCGTGACCCGGCGGCGCCGAGGCGAGGTTGGGCGGTGCCGCTATGGCCGCGCTGCTCTGCGGGTCCCGCGTTGTGGCGGGCGGCGACGAGGACAGCGATAGCGACAGCGACGATGGCGGCTGGGACATTGGCATCGTGCGGCAGGAGCCGCAGGTGGGACCGAGTCTCCCTGCGCCTGGCGCCCGCCAGCCGTGGCCGGGCGGCCTCGGGGTGGGGGGCGGCCTCGGCTTGGCGGTGAGGGAGCCGAGCGCGGTGGGTCCCAGAGGAGCGTGCGGCTGGTGCTTCCCACCAGGGAAGCCATTTCCTACCAGAGTGGTGTACCCTCAATCCAGTAAATGAAACCTGAATTTCAAAGGGCTTGTCTTATTACATAAGAACTTAATGTTTACTTAAAAGACTTATCTCCCGTTTAGTAGCACACCTGAGTCCTTGTTTCAGCATGAGGGTAAATTTAAAAGTGACCTTTATTGCATCTAACAGGTGTGAGGTGTCTGTTAGTGTGAGGTGGAGGGAGGTTCCGTGAGTGGTTTTAGGTGTTGGCTTGTCTGGTGGCGGGAATTGGAAAATGGAAGTAACTGAATTCTTGCAGTACTCAGGCTGAAGATTATAGCAGTGGTTTAGGGATCTTGATCTTTAAATAGAGCTTCCTATCCAGAGATGTCCATTATTTGAAAATTGCTGGCTGAGCAGAGTGAAAATAGGGCTAAATTATTTTATTGGCTGTTTCTCACCTCTGGTTTTCTAGACACTTGGTAAAATCTTTACAAAAGTTTATGGAATGATGGGCTACAGTGTGCTGTGAAAATTGTATAACTCTGAGTTATAATGTTATGAGTTAAAAATTTATGACAAAACAACTTTGTCTCATACTCACTTATGTCCATAAAGAAACTAGTGAATAATCCAATCATTAGTGTATATAAGTGTTTTGTACAAATCTAAATAGTGCCAGCATCAATCTTCAGCTGCATCTGCAGCTTTGATAGAGAAAAATCTGTGATCATTTTGAAAAGAACTTGAATTGGGCAACCGTCTGATGTATAAACTAATCTTTTGGTGAGGGTATTTTTCAGCCAAATCATTAATGATGCAGGAACACAAATGCCACCACAGGATTAGGAGGAAGGGTAGCCCTTCACAGCAGTGGACTTGTGCTGTTTTAGGCCAGACAGATAGTCATTGAGCTCCCTTGACCCAATCTCAAACTTTCATGTCTGATAGCTATATTTTTTTTTAATGTTGCACTTCACAATGTGTGACATGTACCAAAAAAAAGGTACAGAAATGCATTGCTAAGTTTTTCCAGTGCCATAAGATGAAAAAAAAATCTTAATTGAAATCTAATACTGGTAAGAAAAACTGAGGGCAGCATAGGAGGATAGCAGATCTGTTGAGAAAGAAGATATTTGCATTTTCAGAGAATGGAACCTTTCAGAAAAATTAATTTTAAAACTTAGGCTTTGCAGTACACCCCAAACAGACCTACAGAGATGGAAGAAGGAAAGTTATCTTCTTACTCTTTCTCCGCTCCTGCACTTTCAGAGATCATTAGTGCTTTTATACTGAAATGAAGCTATATTGTTTTTCCCTTGAAACACTTATGTTTTGACTTAACTTTTCCTTGTTTATCTAGCAGTTGGATCAAATGTTGCAGGCAGATAAGAATGAGGCTTTAAAGAAGGCTCTGTTTCGTGGTGATGTGTCTTTAATTGAAGAACTCTTAAACTCAGGTGAGGAAAGGCAGTTACAAAGTTAAATATTTTTAATTGATCATGGCAAGAATTCTAAAGTTTCTCCTTTCAAAATGACATGTTGAGTGCATGTAGGAATATGTGAATGTTTCCAATACAGGGTATAAACTCTTATTTTAAAGATTCAATTACTTTTTCAGTGACTCAGCATTCCATATTCCAGCACATTCCTCCTAATTTATGTTTCTTTCATCAGTCAGAAGCCCTGAAAACTGAGAAAACTATAATGTGTGAACTATGAAATAAGATGTTTCTTTCTTTTCAGATGCATCTTTAGCTGCAAATATCAATTACAAACACTGAATTTGATGTGGTTTAAATTGAGGGGGAGAATTCAGTGGGTGGTCTTACTCTGGTGTTGAAGGTTGTATGGGGCAGGGTAAGAAGGGGAGACTGGCTTTTTTTTTTTCTTAATGCTTCCACAGTTTGGAAATTCCTTTTGGTTTTTTGTTTGTTGGTTGTTTGGTTGGGTTTTTTTTGCCTCCTTCACAGCACGGTTAAGTTTCTGGTATGTGCCCTCTGTGATACTGCTGTCCTGGCAACATCAACTGGACAAAGATTTTGCGATTCTGAAAGGTCTAACAGGCTTTATGTGGCATTTGTCACCAAAAAGTAGTTTGTTTTAATACCAAAAGCCTTTCTTCCTGTTCAGTTACTCTGTATTTGTCTGTAATGTGTTTGTTAATCAGTGTTAGGTGGACTGGATCATTTATTGAAGCATCCAGGGCAGAAACTGCATAGCTGAGTTGACCTGCCTAGTGATAATTGTCAGCAAGTTCTGCTTCAGCAAGCAAGGAGAATATAGTACCCAAGAGCTTGTTCTCTGAGGAAAATCTGTCTTATAGCTGAAAGAAAGTAGTTTCTTAGTTAGCAATGGGGTTTTTTTCTGAGTTTTAAAACGATGACATTACTTGTCCTTTTAGAAGACTACTGTTTCTCACTACAATGGGAAAATGGTATTCTTTTTAAATGAAGTAAAACTGTTGCACAGACTGAAACAGAATAGGTGCAGTGTGAGTGTGAAATACATCTGTCTTGCTTTGAGAAAATATGTTCTTATTTATGGGTAGAGTTTTTGATGATGTCTATGCATCAGACTTCTTAGTTGTTTTGTTACAACCCTTCATTTTCAATTGCTTGTATTGCAGTCAAACATCAATAGTTCTCTTTCTGTGTTGATGCCTGATAATACAGTGAACAGTTGTGTGCTGCTAGAAGATAGGTATCTGTAAGAGCATAAGGTCAGGCCAAAGATTCAAGTAGTATACTTTCCTGTCTCCTGAAATGAACAGGGCAGTATCACAAAAGAATATATAAAATGGGATCAACAGTAAATTTTGAGCCATCCAGTACTGTCCTGAAAAGCAGTAGAACACAATACTTCCCTATCAGGGAGGTCTTTCTGAAGAAAGGTGACATTGTCCTTCAGAGGATTGGTGCTCAGTCTGATTAAATCTTTGCCTCCAGAGTTGCCTTTAGTGTCTGTTCAGTAGAGCTTGTAGGAGACTCACTACCAGCACTCCACCAAACTGAGAGTTTGTGTTTGAAGTGCATTTCCTAGCAACCACTGAGGCCATTCTTTCAGGTAAAGGGAGAACATATCGTCTTCTGGCTTGCTTAAATGTTGCTTTAAGGTCTTTGGTGCTGAGGCAGGTTTACAGAGCTCCTTTAGGAGATGGACAAGCACAATGTTTTCTTTCCTCACTCCTGTAAAACAGCAGCTTGTTAAGAACAAGTTTCTGAAGTATGGTGTCGCAAAAAGTAGTGCAAGCAAGTAGCGGGTTCAAAGATGACTTGAGCATTTTGGTCCTGCTTTGGGATTAAAATACTTAACGCCATATAATTCACGTGTTTGATTTCCTAAAATGGAATTCAAAGTTATGATCTCATGATAGTTTAGGCCAATTAAAAATATAAGTACAGTCAAATTCTCTTTCCTGTTTTAATTCAGCAGTTTGTTCCACTTATATCTTAGCATGAGTGCTGGAGTGCATTTCATCTTTTGTGGGCCAGTTCAGAGACTTAAAAGTACTAGTAAACTATGGGAGTGGGAGGGGACAGGATGTGTGAGAATAACTCTTCAGCCAGTTTAGGACTTTGAGCCCTGAGTCAGGTAGGCAAGTCAGATCGTAGTTCTTTGGGCTTGCTAATCTTTTTGAATTTGAGGTTGCATTTTTCTGTATAAAAACAGCCTTTCTAACATAATTATTAGCCACAGTCAACAAAGTATCTGAAAGGGATACCGGAGAAACTGTAGTAGTCACAAAAAGCATGCAGTTCTCCCTTTGCTGTTCTTTTGCTTCTCCATTATTCATATGCTTCACAGAGTTTCTGCTGTTGTAGAGCTTGTCTGAGGCCAGAACGTATTTCTACCCATTGCTGGTTAAAGAGGAAGATATTTATCTGCAACTCAGATTGTAAGAAAGCATGTTGTGTCTGGTTTCTCTCCTGCTTATAATTTGTGATGTCATGTGACTGAAAATCTTCTCTGCTTATACCTACAAAGGAGCACAAAGAGGTAATGGCAGGTGGGGGAGCCCAAATAATAGCCTGGCCCAGCTCCTCCCAGGCCCATCGTGGAAGCTAATAGCCCGTCACAGGCCCATCTTTACAGTCTCAGAGAAGCCTACCGGCAGGCAGGAACACAAATTACAGACTCAGAGGAAGGGACTCCCAGGGCTCTCATAGGACCCTTGCGCCTGTGGGCCAAGTGCCTGTGGAGACAGGAGCGAGTGAAAGATGTGCCAGTCACAGGAGTTGGACCAGAGGTCAGAGGCCTATGTGTCTGTGATGCCAGCAGCTGGAGGAGGTAGATGGCAGAATGAGACTGTTGGCACTCTGTTCACAAGAGTGCTCTGGCTGCCTGTGTTGATCACTGTGGCCAGTGATGTATGTGTGTGCTGGCTGGGAATACATGCTTAGCATCGGTATGGGTTGTACATTGGGTTGTGGAGCTGTAGCAGGCTTGTTTTTCTCTGGCTGTTGAATCTGGCCTGATTTTTTTGCTAAAAAGTGTTTTTTCTGGGCTTCACTGTTGCCTTATAGGTTTTCTTAAGGGCCATTTTAAATGCTGAACTAATGCTGCTTACTTCAACAGCAGCTCGTGTAATGAGAGTAATAACATGTCTGAGTAGTCACCAAGGTGAGACATTTCTGGTTCAGTCATCAACTCCTATAACTATGCAGCCAAGAAGCAACATGACTTACTGTTTCTGTTGTCCATTGTTTGTCTTCCTCTGGGAATTCCAGCTGTTTTGCATTATGACTTTCACACTGAGTGATACTTCAAGTCAGTCACTACAAAGATGGCAGGAGACCATGCAGGACAAACAACATACCGTTGCCAAATAGACCATTCTAATTCTAGAACTTAAAAGGAGCACCAGCATCATGGCAGATACTGTCTGCTGTATGAATAAAGAAAGCATTGAAGAAAATACCTTCTCAAGAATTTTGATAGGTCTCTCTATGCCTGCCAAATAGATCCTTTCTTGCTATTGTTCAGATATGTATTAAAATAAAAAAAGATACATATTAAAATAAAAGTAAAATAAAAAGCTCTAGATGTTACATAGACTGCTGACTGCTTTTCTTACGAGGAAAAGTGATTTCTTAAGGTTGACTGGGTGACACCTTTTTGGTATTTCTTACTAGTGTTATTTAAGTGGGCTGTTGTATCAGAGTTGCTAAATTCTTGAAGTGACTTGTCTACAAGGAAGTTCAGATATGACTGCTAAGGGACACTTGCTGGCTCCCCTTATAGAACTTGTGTGTGGGTTTCAATGGAATGTTTTGTATCTTGCACAGAAACTGGTGTGCTGTGGCACTAAGGACTGCAGCTGCTGTGTATACATTACCAAGTAGATTTGATTGTAAATTCTGTGGCTTGCAGGTGTTAGAATGCTTCAACATGTGGCTTTTATTGATTGCTGCTCTTTACTGATTGCTTCAACAATTCCAGTGATCTTAAACAGTTAAAGAATCAATCCAAAAGCAGTGACCTGTTAGTCTCTCAGCTTTAATGACTTTATATTGCTACACTGAGCACATCTTTGGCATTGCACCAAGGCAGGGAAAGTAAATACACATTTTGCATGAAAAAGAAGGCATGTAGCTCAACTATCATAAATTTCTTAGGACAGTTTTGGGGGTTTTTTTCAGAATTCTCTCTTCTAAAGAAGTATTTCTTATTACCTATAGTCACCATTGGACTAGTATGGAACCAGACGATGGAAACTGTTCTAGAGGAAGTAATATTTGTTGAAGGATTGAAGGGAAGATGATTCCTATTATTGCAAAAATGCATAGAATTTTTTATTTGAAAGTTGTCAGTCTGGTACTTGGTTCTTTGTGAATTTGGAAGGGCTGGGCTGACTGGCAGGAACACTTCTAGCCATTTTAGCCATTCTGGCTATTACAAAGAGTAACAAACAATTCTGGTGATTGTCATTGAATCTTGCGTAGTCTCCTATTTCTTCTTTTTATTGAGATAATATTTTGTTAGTGCTGAATGCAAGTCTGCCAGTTAACTGCCTTGCAGGACAGAGAATAAAAGGAGCTGTGAAGCAGGAAACCCTGGATGATATGATCTTAATTGCCTGACAAGCAATTTGCTTCCACAGCAGTCCTCTTGGCTTCACAAGAGTCAAAATTTTTCATTTTGATTGAAGAAAGCTATTGCACAGAAGTAGAGAAAACAGTGATTCTGTGCACTTATGTGAAATTATTTTTGCAGCTAGATGTTTGGGATTTTTTAATGTAATCTTTCTGTGGTAGTTAACTCCTTGGGTTGAGAACTGAACTTCACTGATGTCAGTTTTAAAAGTTGTTTTCTGGTTCTAAATAAAGATGTATTAAAGAAAATGCTATAAAAGATTTCTCTTTCTAGGATGAAATGCAAACAGGGTGTAACCTTTCTAATGATACATATTGAGAGTAAAGTTTATAAAAAGCGTGTTTATTGTGATGCAGTTTTATGATTTTAGTATCTCAACTTTCGACAGGCATCAGCATAGAAACTAGCTTTCAGTTTGGATGGACTCCCCTGATGTGTGCTGCCAGTGTGGCCAACTTCGCAGTAGTGCGTCTTCTTCTGGACAGAGGTGCCAACGCGTGTTTTGAAATAGGTAAGATGTGAATGAAAAGTACTGACTAGTAATGCTCAGCACCAGACATTGTCCCTATCCGTATTCTCTTGTTCACATATGTAGGGAAAAAAAAAAAATCAAAGTTCCCAGTGGAATTGGGACCTAGCCTACCTTTCACAGTTTTGAAGTAAAAGTAGTAGTTTTAAAATAAAAATTGTGCTCTTGGAACTGATCTCGAATTCGTTGATGGGTTTTCTTGTTCTTTCTTTCTCCATCCTGTTTTCTCCCTCACCTCCCAAATTCAAGTGCTTTTTTAAAAAGTGTTTGGAAATACTTGTTCAAAAATTCTAGTATAAAGTTGTACACGTAAAACTTCCTTTGTTTGATCCTGTTACAAAATATATACATGCAGAAACCAGATAGCATCCCAAACAACAGGAATAGCTTTCTAGTTCATGGGAAACTAATGTGGACTTCTCTAAAACTAGAGCGCAGTTTTATTATTAAGTGAAAACTGTTCTTTATTGTTTTACTAGATCACATTTTTCTGCAAGAATTCAGTGTGGCTTCTAAGTAATATCAGTTCCTCTGTCAATTTTTATGGCTTAATAATAACTTTTTCTGACTTAAACTATGGTTATTTTCCTTCTCTTCCATTGTGTTGGAATATTTATCCCACAGTACTGCCAAGTATGTAGAAGCAGTGATCATATTTTCCAGTAACTTGCCAATATTTGTAGTAATAGTAGACTGAAATGCAGATGGTACAAATCTGGCTCTGAAAATTTTCTATAACTTCTTAGCAGTTAATTAGAGTAGACTACCTGCACCAAAAGCAATCATGCCTTCTTCTAATTACTGTCCTTGTAGCCAGCTTCAGGGAACTTCCATGTGGCTGCCTACAGCTGTGGCTACCTACAGCTCACCTGTTCCTTGTTTATGCCTGTAGAGAGCTATAAATGGGGCAAAAACTGCTATGGGCAGTAGTTTAGAGTTTCCAGGTAACCAAATGCTTGGCATTTTTTCAGTGTGTGACTGTATTTGCTCAAAGTGGCACCTTGCTAGGATCAGGTTTCTTGGCTTGTTTCCCTGTTAGACTGTGTAGGGAAACAGTAACTAGGGCATATGGACACCAGAGTACTGTCCAGCCAGGAGCAGTCTTGTTAGTCATTGATCTGGGTCAGAACACGTGTTCAGTAAAACTATGCCATCCTAAAATGGTACTAAATCTCACCAGTCTTGCTGCTATTTTTTACATCAGCAGGCAATCACATAAGTGATCCTATAATAATTATCCTTTAATCCTTATAGTCCTAATAACATCTATACTGTTAATCACCTTTAGTTGCTCTTCAGTCATTCTTTGTGAGTAGTTACTTAATTTTACCCTTTTTGGTAGTTGTGAAGAACAAGGAACTAATATGTCATTTACTATGTGATGGGTTCAAGATGTTGCATCCTTGAGGAATAATTTCACTGGATTTTTTGGGTTTTTCAGCTAGGATGAACATAAACTTATATTTTTTGCAGTCTTTTAGCAGTTTTTGTCTGCAAAAGAGAAACCTAAGAGTTCTAAGGTGTTATTTCCCTTTCTCTTGCTCACATGTGTGAGCTTTAGGTATGTGAACAGAAAGTAGTTTCCCACTCTCTTTCACTACCTGAAATACTGAAAACAAGTGTAACTACAGGTTCCATCTATATGTCATTCCCAGATTAATGGTGTTTATCACTACTTTTGTTTGAAGTCCTGACATCTTACCGTTCGGGTTCTGGTTGATAACCCGGTTTAACATTTTGAGTAAAAATTTTTCACTGCATCAAGTAATAATTTCTACGTGAGGTAATTGAAAATTAAAAGATGGCATATTAAAGAACCAAATGAATTTAAATGCAGAACTAAGTTGGGGAGGTGAGGGACAAGAAGTGGTGAGAAATAGAGCAGAGGGGGTAGAGTACATAACAAACTTTTCACGTTTAAATACAATGAAGTCTGACCTCAGTTGAAGAATAAAGATGTTAATTATACACGGCCTTAAAATTTCTACAAGAAAATTAGAAAATATGTTGTAACACTTGATGATGTGGTCTGAAGTAGGTACAGCTAATATACTTGTTAAAACAAATTGTTGAAGGCATGTTTGAACTTGTGAACAAGTTTGTGCAGTAAGCAAAATGGGCAGTTATTCAGATGGCCGTCTTCTAAATAACACCGGGGCCAACTAACTTGCTAGGGTCCTCAAGGTGTTACACTTCCCACATCTCTCTAGGTGAACCACGGGAAAGGAGATCTCTTGTGTTCTGTGGGCAGGCAGCAATGGTGTACAATTTTGATCTGTGAGCAAAGGTGACATGTAACACCTAGCTGGCTTCAAAGCTGGAGTAGCAAATAGCTGGTATTGTTATGGACTGTGTAGATGTTTTTTAGAATCTACGTCTAAACCAATACTTTTAATAGTCCTTCTGCCACTACTGTACCATAGTAACCTAATAAATTTAATTCCTTCTCCTTAAGACCTGTCATAAAGCTTTGTTCCTTCAGCTGTACGACCCTCAGTTCTCCCCAGAATTGATGTTGCTATGTGTTTATAATACATTTTCATGCACCTTTTTTTATCCATTGCAGTTAACTTCCTGTAAGTTGTTTCTTCCTTAAACTGGAGGGGAGGAACGGGGAGTGAACTGACTGGTGTGGAACGTGTTTTGAAAAACAAGCATCCACAGTTAAGCTCCTACTATAGTTGTGGGGTATTTGCAGTGTTCTAAATTTCGGTAGGAATAGATGCTTTACTATTGTGATTCACTCTCGTCTTTCTGAGTATCTCAGGTGCCTTTGTTTTATCTGATAATTCTAGTGACTTTTACAGACAGGAACACAAGTTTCTTAGCCTTTTCTAAATATCTTAGAGTATCAGAACCTGATTAACAACTCTAGCAAATATAAAGTCTTTTAAAGGAACTTCTGGATTAGCATGGTGTTTATATTTACACGTGTAATTTTGTAACTGTGAATTTCCAAACAGATAAATACACTGTGCTGATGGCAGCATGTACTGCACAAGCTTCAGAGGAGAACATCTTGAAGACTGTAGAACTGCTTCTATCAAGGAATGCTGACCCTAACCTTACTTGCAGGTACCAAAAACCCCATGTCTGTGAATACAGCATAAAATATAATATTACTATACAGAGACGTGTTTATAGACATAGCTATTGTTGTTGGTTAAGATGAGGTGTACATACTTTTTGTAATTTCACTGCTCTCTGTATAAGACAAAGATTAGTGCCCGGATACTTATATCTCCTAGTACAGTCATTAATCTGAATAAAGACTATGATCAGTTTTATCAAATTGTAAGTAAGTTCTTTAGCTGAACAAGTTTTAAATTAAATCTTCAGTTGACTGAAGTGTAAAGGCAAGAAATATGTCTCTGCCTTTCCCAAATCATATTGCCTCTTCTTCAAAGGGATGTAAGTTAAATCAGTTAATTCTTTATTTAAATTCATGTCCTCTTTTGAGCTTTTTTGTGGACATCTAGCTATATTCCTTTAACAGACTGCCTCCTGTGGAAAAGAAAACTCTGTAAATAAGATACATTTATTCCACTGCAATCTGGAATAATCCATATTAAAAGGAGATTTAAACTTTTAAAAACAAGTAATAGCTTCTTTCTTCAATTACAACTTTGTGTCTCAGCAGTTTGAAGCAGTGCGTTGTGAGATGTCTGTAGTGCACAGTCTGATGCAGTGGTTCATTTTACATCAAAAATAAATAAATTCTGGGCTGGCCCAGGATAAACTCTGCTGCCTCTGTTGAAAAAAAGAAAATACTGTTTGGGTCTACTGGTTTTTCAACTGAAATTTTTTTATACCACAACTCTTTTATCACATTACCTGGGATATACAGACTGAGTAGCTCTCTAAAAAGAATAGAATTGAAGGCCCATTGGTTTTCATCAGTAGCATTCAATTACACAAGGCCCTGGACCTCGCTGTGAGCATAGCACTGATAGACTAGGAGGAAACATAGTTGTGCTGATGTGCCACTGATGTCTGGTACCAAGTTTAAATGCCATTCTTTTATTCTTATCAGAGAGGCTAAAAATTGTTCATGAGAGAAGAGAAAGCTACAGTGTCTGAATTAATTACATATTGTTGTTGTCAGATAGCTGGGTGTTGGATTAAACATCCTGCTTTAAAAAATGAGGGAAGTCTTTGCATTATTAACTTTGTCTTGGGTGTTGAAAATGTAAGCCAAAGTGCAAAGCTGTAGGTTTACATTTGCTAAGGCCTTTGGCTAAACTTTGCTGGAAAAAAAAGTTTGGATGCTGACACAAGACATAGGAATTTTAAGGTCAAAACTTTATTTATAAACTTAGAGTATATTTTGCATTGTTGATCTTTATATACAAATATTTATTTACTCTCTCTTTGTTTTCCAAGACCTTGTGCTAATGTGAGTTATTCATGCATCCATCAGATAGTATTTAGTTGTGGTTTTTTCACTTTTGCAATAGTAGCCTTTCTCAAATGGAAAGATAAATTAAGTGACAATTAGAAATGTCATATTTGTGCCAAACAAAAGTAGAAGCTTGAAAAGTCCAGACCTCGACATCTGAATTCCTTGTGCTGCCTATATGCCTTTCCAGTGTTTGACATCTGTGCATACCACTCTGTCATTAGATCTGCTCAGGCAGCAGCTGCTGCTTCTCAGGGGCTTCTTCCTCCATTTCTGAAAGGGGTATGAAACACAATAAACTGGGTTATGTGCAGATAAGGGATCAAACAGCCCCTCTCTGTGGCACTGCAGTACCATTTCACCCATCTCATTCGAGCAAGCAGGATGTTCTGTAGGAGCCAACTGTCAGTGAGTTGAGATTTAATATTAAGAGAGCGCTCCCTGTGTGATCAGGCTACCACAGGTGTTAAGAACCAAGGTTCACACTATTTGGGTTTCTCAGTACTTAAGAACCAGAATGATTTAGGAAACTTTTCTTTTATCCATCATCAACTGGAATGTGTGTGAATGCAAAGCAGAATACTTAAATTTCATGTAAGGCAGAGTTTAATGTTCATCCTTTCATTGTTGCACTGTCAGGGCAACCAGTAGGCTCTTCTATGTTATGTCATCTGGAGGTGATACACAGAAACTTCCTTTTTTTTTTTTTGGTCTAATTTACTAAGTCTGTGTGGAGCAGGGAAGGACTAATGAGAAACAAACTGCAAATCTTTAAGCAGTCTTTTTTTTTAAAAACCTATGTGTTTTCTTAAAGTTACTCTGGTTTTATTAATGTTAAGTTAGAAATTCGATTTAGGCAAAATGAAAATGCATGACCAACTGATAAGTAAATTACTGCTGCTAGGATAACACTCATAGGTTGTTTAGTAAATACGGATTTTAGTGACAGCATCCTCCAAGTTTTTGTTTACATAAAGCAGAGTTAAGGAATTGTAATGGCTTTGCCTGTAAGGAGAGTGTTTTGAGTTGTAGCTTCTTCTAACAAACAACTATTAGCATAAAACATCAAGTAGTTAAATGACTGAAACCTCCTTTGTTTTGACATAAAGTCTTTGTCTCTTGTTCTGCATGGGATATGTGAAGGCTTGATTTTGTTTGTGAGCCATTTTTTCCCCTCACTTTTAATGTTTCTGGCACAATTGAGTCCTAGACAATGAACAAGCCTGTCTTCAATGTTTCTGCTCTAAAATGGTTACAAATTTTGTGTACATTTAGAGGAAAATCTTCATAAAGTCTTGTGATTGTCTTTTTCCTTTTTCTTTTTTTTTAGGGTGAGTATTAGAAGAACTAAACCTTTTGTCTCTTATAATTGTGCAGATTAAAAGTTGAACTTGAAGTGTGCTGTCATGTACATGAATGCATATACATGAAAAGTATAATTACTTCTTAGGTCTGGTATTAAGTTGCCTGTATATGTTTACTTGTGCTTTCACTTAGAGGAGTTCTAGGGAGTATCAAAAATGGTTTGGTTCTTAAAATTTTGGTCTATTTTGCCCTCTTGAGAAGATGGTAATGGAGGGGGAAATTTTTATTGCAGTATTGCTCAGGTCACAAGATAGGTCTTCAGGTTGCATAGTCAGAACAAAGCAATTGTGTAACACCTCAATTTCAGCAAGATATATATTGCTACTGATAAGACAGTAAATTTGCACTGCCACATAATTTCAAAGATGTTGACACTATCATTGTGTGATAGACAAACAGTACATTTCAATAAAAGTAAATAGCCTGGGAAAAGTTAATGCACTATGGTACATTCTATGTCTGGGGCAAGAAAATGAGAGAATTTCATACTATTGAGTCAAAATCTTTGATCCAACTCAGAGCAGAAAGTACCTTGTGATGTTATACTCTATTACAGTCCATGCCTTTGAGAGAATTTTTTATTCTAGCATTGTGAACTCAGGATAGAAAGACTTTTATTTTGTTGGTCAAACATCAGGACAGAGGGTCTAAATATAAGAAATGAGATGCAAAATTACATTTACCAAAGTACTGTGTTCATTTGGGCTATGTCCATGCATCTCTTCCTTCCTTCTGAGTTAGGGAGAAGTCAAAAGTGTGGTAAATGTGTGAGTTCTGAGTTTGGCAGAGTACGTAACTTTTGAACGTAAGTATTGCGTCTTGTTCATCAGAGGAGCCTAGACACCAAAATAAGTGATTGTATTTTTCCCAGCTAGTAATGACTGTATGGCCAGGCTTAAAACTGTGGATCACAGTTTCTGAGCAGAGGTATAAAACACTCAGGGACAGTAGGGAAATGAAAAGCTATTTTTCATAGAGGCATTCTGACAGTGTACTGTGGTGTCTTGAAGGTAAAGGTACTCACCTGAGCAGCTTTAGAGTAAATAGAAATAAAACCTGTCCTGAAATCCATTAGCATTCTCTCCCAAGTATGTTAAACTTCCTATCATTGCTGCTACCTTACCCTGATGATGTGCTATTTGCATAAGATTGGTTTGGGTTTTTTACATGATAGAGAATTGTACTTTCCTTAGAAAGGTGTAGCAGATTTCACATGTATGTGCTGAATTTCTTGACTACAGAATTTACACACATTTTGAAAGTAGAGTTGAAAACAGTCTGAGAAGTTTTTATTTTGCAGGTAACTCATGTTTTTCTGTTTTATGTTTAAGTGTATGTGTTTTTATATTTAAGTGAAAGTGTTTTTAGCTAAACCAGCTTGCCTGTAAAAATGTGACTGGAGTAAGGATGTAGGAGGACAGGAAGGATAACTGGGAATGTCACAGCATAGAGTTCTGCCATCCCCATTGTTAATTTTTATACTAATCCCTTTTATAATCACATCGTTTATATTTTTCTAGTCATATAAAGATAACTTTGTAGCTCTCTACCTTCCCACCTCTGTGTGCTGTAGAACTTACAGAAATGCCTTTTTTAATTTTGAAACAGTCATGTAAACAGAGTTCAGAAGCAGAAAAGTACAAGAGCTGGCAAATTGAAATGAAGCCTAAAACTAGGGAATCTGAAACTAAGCTGTCACTATTTCCAGCCCAGTCTTTTTTTCTAGAGGTGTATGTTCCCTTCTCCTGAAAAGGTCTACTTCAGGAGGGTAGAGGACTCTACTACCTTGCTCCAGCAGACAGTGCCTGGAAAAAGTATCTTGTAGCCCACAATACACTGAAGTATTTTCTTCCAATACTACTTGTTGTATACAGTTCCCTATTTCCTCACTTAAATCCTAGTTAGCCAGAAAATGGGCAAATATATTTTCTTCTGTTGCTGTGGACACACTGTTGCCACTGTTTCTCAGTTTGAGTCTTAATATGCAGCACTGGAGTGGTGAAACTCCAAAAGCTTCTGAGGCTGCTTTCTGGTTATCTGAAGCACTGTTCAGTTTGCAGCTCAGTAGTCCTGTGGCATCATTTCCTTGCTTTGGGATCTCCATAAGAAAAGACTGAGACTGAAGTCAGGGTTAAATTGTTTTCTGCCTGCTGTATTTTTTCTAATGTTATTGATACACTGATCTAGTTAATAAACATATATCCAGTTATGAGACTTGCAACTTTTCAAGATCACCAACTGGAAATACTGAATTTTCTATAGATGTCTCCCCAATAAATGGAAACCTGTGTGTAAATGGGAGATATCTCTTCTCCTCCCTCTTATGAAGTTTTCCAGGAAGATGAACTTTGTATTGCTTGAGAGCAAGATCCCAAACATAAGCATGTTTATTTGTCAAGTGCACTGAATTCTGCATCACAGATTCAGTTTAGTAGCAGGTACTCAGGACACTTTTCAGTGAGATATCTTGCTGTCACTTTATCACCGTTTTTATTATGGCTCCTAGTTATCTAGGGTAGGAAGCTCCAGGGTGGTAGGCCAGTTCACGCAGCTTGCTCTCTTGTGATAAAGTTTTGCCTCATTTTTTTGACAGGGTGAAGTGAGCCTGTAAGAACTTCTGGTTGTATCTTTGCGTACATGTCACTTGCAAAGTTTTGGATGGCCCTAGAAACTGCAAAAGCTGCTGGTTTTGTCTTTCTCCAGCCTTAACATAAAAGCAGGGAGAGTTAGAGAATGCCATGAAGCTGTGTCAGAGGACGTTTAAGTTGTATGTCAGGAAAAGATTCTTCACCCAGAGAGCAGTTGGGCGCTGGAACAGGATCCTCACCCAGAGAGCAGTTGGGCGCTGGAACAGGATCCCCGGGGAAGTGGTCACAGCACTAAGCCTGAGAGTTTAAGAAGCACCTGGACAATGCTCTCAGCCACATGGTGTGACTCTGGGGGTTGTCATGTCAGGGACAGGAGTTGGATTCTATGATCCTTGTGGATCTCTTCCAACTCAGAATATTCTGTTATTCTAAAGATAAAAATAAACAAAGAAAAATCTCTCTTCATTTGCATGAGACACTTCTTTTTATTTAGGTGCTGAAAAGCTGCAAGAGTAGTTGGAACAGGCATCGTCCTTAATTAATCAATTGCACATATGCTTTTTAAGCTTTTATTTATTATTAATTTACTATGACTTGATTGTCATGTTCAATGTGGGCAAATGTCATGTGGCAAATTGTGCCATACTTAACAGGTGTTTGGACAAGAAGGTCATCTGCAAGCCAGACTGGTGAAACATGGTGGTTCCTCAAAATGATGAAAGGATTCTTCAGATCTTCTGTGTGGATGGTTATCACTACACTCTATGAACGTTTTTGGATTGCGCTAACTGAGATGTACCGATACATTTAATTTCTCTTCAACTTAAGCAGGAAACAGTGGATTTGCCATGTTAAAGCTCGCTGTTTGCTTGAGGGGGGTTCTTTGCAGGATTTGGAAAACAGGGTTTGTTTTCTCTAATGCTCTCATCTCCCTCCTGTGGCCATACGTGTAAATGGACTTTGATTTCAGGGGGCGGTTCGCGGCACACCCTCTGCATGTGGAGTTGTGAATTTGCACAGCACTGTGTTTCTATTCTGAAACAGCTTGTAGCCTTTGAAGTTAAAACTTGAGCATTAAAATGGAATACTTGCAGTACTAATTGTGTATTCATGTTGTGGACCTTTTAAATGTCATGTTTACTGGGTTTTACTTGGAAATGGTGAAACTTTTTTGGTGGCTTTAATGTCATTGAGTTGTTGCCTTGATTTCAGATATCACATCTGCAGTACTGTGTAGCTGTAACCATATCATATTCTTTGGAGAAAAGACTACTCTGTAGCCTCAGGACTTTTGTTCAGTATTTTCCTTTTGAAATAAGCAGAAGGTAGTTATGAAGTAGCTGCAGTGTGCAAGTTCCCAAAAAAAAAAAAAGTTGAGAGCAGGAGAAATTAAAATGAAATCAGGCATGATTGGACTGGTTTTTTTTAGTCAGATCTAAATACTTCGAAGGTGATGACATTGAAAGTCTGTCAGAGGCTACCTACCACTGAAAAGAAATGTGTGGGAGTGTCTGCATTAGAGAAACAAGTTTGTTGCTACAAATTGTTAGGTTGTAATCAACTTCTCATTCTTTACAATATGGGTATTCACAGCGCGCTTGTAGCAAATGTGGGTAGAGCCCTTCCCAAATTTTTGTTCACGAAGCCTAGCCATGATCCACAGATATCTGAAGATGTCTAGATATAGATATCTCAAGAGACATATAGAGACAGTGAGGTATAGCAATTTCATCAGTTAGTTATTAAGTTGCAGAGGCAGATTACAGAGTCTTTCTCTATTTTTATAATAATCTTCATAGGATCACAGGGTGATTCAGGCTGGAAGGGACTTCAGGAGGTTTCTAGTCCAACTTCTTCCTTAAAGCTGCCTCTGCTAAGACACTGGGCTAGGTTGCCATCTGGTCTTGAAACTCGATAAAGATGGCGACTAAAAAACTTCTCTGAGCAGCCAGTTCCACTGATTGACTGTACCCCATGGTAAAAATGTCTCCTCATATTCAGTCAAAACTTCTGCTTTTGGAGGGTTGATGAACTAAATCGAATTAGTTCTAGACTAATGCAAATCTTTCTGCTTCATTACAAAGTTCCACTGTTTTGTTAACTGTATGTCTTGAAGGTCTGATTACCTTTCATTTTGCTTATCTCTGAGTAATCGACTTTTTTCCCTACTGTAAGGCTGTCTCAAATGTGCACAAACTGTGTTTGCATAAGACAATGCCTAACCAGTCTTCCAGTGAAAAAAAATTTCCCTAATATCTAAACCAAACCTTCTCTGGTGCAACTTCTGGGAACAGAAAACAAAAATGAGATAAAGGACAAAAATATTCTGATTGCATTTAGTTTTAGTACTTGAAAAGTTACAATCTTCAGTGTGGTCTTTGTATGTAATTGTCTGAAGACTCCTCTTGGGTGTACTCAGGGTGGGGGGAGTCCTGGATGTTGACAATGTGTGTGTAGCCTGTGCTATTGCACTGCACCTCTGCACGGTGGTGGTAAGACCTGTATGACCTGTGATTCTGTTGCTTACACTGATTTTACCAGAGAGGGTTTTGGATTTATAAACATAGTTGGGTTTTTTTTAATATTCTTCCTCTTAAATATTCAGTTGTGATTTACAACTTGCCCTCCATGAAACTGTGTATTTTTTCCAAATTTGGGATTGAAATTAGACTGTATGTAGAACCCATCACTTAGGCTGTGTGTTTTAAAAATGAGAAATGGAAGTATGCCACTGTTTTGTTAATTGAAGGGGAAAAAGATGATTTGCTGATTTTTCTCTGCTTTTAGTAGGGTGAAAACTGTGATCTGCAATTATGCTCATTCTCTTCTCATTAAGCTGACCTATGTGCTAAATGAGAGACCTGCTGCTTCTGGGTCTGTGGTAGCAGCAGGAAGGATGGTTTTTAAAAACTGGTTTTGTATAGTACAGAACCAGAACAGAAATGGTTTTAGTCACCAAGCTACAGTGTTTCATAGCTGGGACATGTTAAGGTTATTTGTTTGTTAATGTGCTAATGGAATTTGCAGGTGATAAAACATTGATACAGGATTGTTTACTTGTTTCTCCCAGAAGTACTATATGTCTATATTCTAAACTCCTAGGAGAGACATGTTGAGTTTCGTCTAAGTTTCCTTCTTGACGAGTTGAGAGGCAATTGACCTCTTAACTTCATTTTAATCAGAAAATAAATGCAACCTCTTAAAATATTTAAAACTTGTTAATTCATCATAAACGAGTTGCTGACTCTGTATGTTCTGTTGACTCCTGTGCTGAAGCATGAATGTGATGTCTTGGTCTTTCATCCTCTGTAGTTATACTGCAGAACAGAGAATCTTTATAGAACTGAGGTGCTCTACTTGATAATACAGTGGCATTTTGATATCTTGAAATACTTCTTTTTTCAGCTGGCCTCTTTTCTTTCAGGAAAAAAATGACTGCACTGATGTATGCAGCTAGAAAAGGCTATGCTCGCGTTGTTGCTCTGCTTGTTGCTTGTGGATCACACATAAATGCCCAAGATGAAAATGGATATTCAGTAAGTGATTTACTTTTGTGTGTTGTAATTAATGATAAAAATTTTAAAAAGCAAGAACCTGCTAACTTGTTTCTAGGTACAACTTTCTCAGGAATACTCATTGGAATTTTCTGCTTTAACACCACTTTGAGATTCTTTTGCATTAATTGTCTTTGTCTCCAGATTGGGCCATGCTTTATTGATTGAACCTTTGTCGTTTTTTGCTCCATATGTAAATTTGGTGAAACAAAGTTGCTCTTTGCAGGCATTAATATGGGCAGCGCAGCATGGACATAGAAGTGTAATTTTGAAGTTGCTTGAGCTAGGAGCTGACAAAAATCTACAGACTAAGGATGAAAAAACGGCAGCAGAGCTAGCAAAAATCAATAAACATACAGAGGTATTTAATTTCATTTTTTTTAGAAATGTAAATTTTGTGTTTTGACTCAAGAATCTGTTAATTATATAATTTTCTACAGAAGTGTTACTTTAATAATTACATTATAGCAGCTAGTTGAATACTCGTGCTGTTACATCTATATAGAAAACTTTCTGTTATATCAAAGCTTTTCATAGTGCTGTAAAAGCTATAGAGTAGTGTTTTGGAAACGCTTTTTCTTTATTCTTTCAGAATCCTTGACTTTAGATTTAGAATACAAAACAAGGGATTATTCATGTTAGTAATGTTGATAAGAGAAGTATAAAAATGTGTTGTGTTTTATCTGTCTGCCAAAATATGTGAGAGAATGCAGATATCAAACTAATTTGCAGAGTATAGTTTCTGATTGAATTTGGAAGTGAAAAGGCTAAAGCTAAAAAGAAGGGGAGTTGGTACTGGCTATTTTTAAAATCTCTTCTTGGGAGGGAGGAAAATGTAAAATAATGTAATTTGGTCATTGGATCATGGGGAGAGCAGTGTAGAGAGCTACTGACTTTTCTCCTAAAATAAATCTGGTTTTGCTGTTACTACATGATGCATGGTGGATCAGTGAGACCATATTTCTGTGTGTTTTGCCTTGAGTTACTCTTACAAATGATGTGGCTTTTCACAGTGGCTCTTCAAAAATGTATAATTTACTCTTACAAATTGTAATTCACTTTACAGCTTCTTTTTCTTACCTTTTTTTTTCTGCCAGACTCCAAGGCTAGGCAGGAGCAAAAATGATAGCTATGCACAAAGCTGTCAGTGGAAGCTAGCAAGATCTGTGTCTGAGGCTCAGTGATCAGTTAGCTCAGGTTACTGAAAGAGGTTACAAAAGCTTTCTGCCTTTGATAAACGACTTGTTCAGCAGGTTACGGCCATATAATCTTATAACATGACTTTCTGTGACATGGAGGGAATACAGGCTTCTCACACTTGAGAGGTGGTCTTGCCTCTTGACCTGAAGTGCTGACTTTCAGCAGTTGGTGCAAAGTCTTGCAGATGGTATTGAGATATTTAATGGTCATGAGCTTCTTCCAGCTTCAGGGTCTGCTCTTCAGGCCATTGACAACTGAAAGGCCTGTCATACAGACTGTCTGCAGAAACTGTTTCTGGGAGGGGAAATATTTTTCATTTCTGTTATTCTGAATTTGACTGGGATGGAGTTATTTTTCTTCCAAACAGCCTATATGGTGCTGTGGTTTAGGACTGTGACCAAACCACCATTTGTAACACACTAGTGTCTTAGCTGTTGCTGAGTGGTGCTCGTGCAGCATCAAGTCTGTTTCTCAGACTGCTCCCCATCTTCAGCAAGTAGGCTGCAAGTGAGCAAGAGGTTGGGAGTGGGCATAGCCTTGAGCTGCTAACTCCAACTGACACAAGGGATACTCCATGCCCTATCACATGCTTAGTGATAAAATTGGACACTGGCTGGGCATTTCTCTGCTGGTGGGAGGTGGTCACTGCCTTTGCATCACTTAAGTTTTGGGGTTTTTCCCTCTTTACTTTTCAGACTGTATTTATCTCAGCCCAAGAAAAGTTTTCTTACTCTTACCCTTGTGATTCTCTCCCATACTGCTGAACTGAGCAGGGACTTATCAGCTGAGATCAACCCACTGCACGTATGTTTATATGTATAGGAAACTGGCTAGTCACCTGAAGTTCAGGCAATGGATTTCACCATTCCTTTAGGTTTATTGAGTTTCTAATTGTTTTGCTATTTTTCTACTTGTTTTTGCTTGTTTTTCTAGTGACTATCTTAAAACACAGGGGCAGTTCCGTTTCTGGAATCCATCACTGATGCATAGTGATGTCTAGCAGAAGGCTGCTTCTTTAATCAGTTGAAAGAATCCCTGCCTGTCAGATATAGTTAACTTAGATTGTCAGGTGTAAATTGATCAATGTTAGGTCTATATGTGCACTGGAAATGGAGACATGAAAATAGTTGTATGCCTTGTGCCCTTAAGACAACTTATTGCCTTGAGTATATAGAACTCTTGTCTACAAACCACAAAAATTAGTATGTTGGTGTTTGGCTACTTCTGTAGTGATGGATGCTGACTTTTTTAGACCACATTACATTCACCATTTTGCTCTGTGTCAGTTCATTGATGTGCTGGAATTTGATTAATTTGGAAATGCTCTGTGGGTGTAGTCTTAACTTCTCATTATAGATATATGCTTTAGAGAATAAGTGGCAGATGTTTCATGTTCCCTGTAGGTAGTAATTGGTTATAGAACTCTTTTTGTAGTCTCATTCCCATATATTTTTTTAATGCATTTTGAGTTTGAATAACAATTAATTCATTTTGGCTCTTCCAGATTTTTAGTTTGCTCTCTTTGGCTGCAAATCACTTGCAAGGGAGATACCATAAAACAGTTGAGCAAGAGGCTATCTGCAAATTTCTGACAGCTATCCCTGACCACAGAGTTGGGTAAATACAGTTATAGTGTAATTTTAGCATATAAACATTCCTAAGATATTGTATTTGTTCATATCAATGATTAAGTTGTTCCTATATATATATATATATATATGTTATGAGCACTGCCATGAGCCCATAGTAAGTATATTAATGTACTATTAATTTTTCAAGAATTATAAACAAAGAGCATGGTCTTGTTCTGTGCTTGTCTTCATTTGATGTTAAAATTTTGATGCTTTCACTGAATGCCGCTTTTCAGCTTCGCGTCACCAGGAAGAGCTATGCCCTTTTCTTTTTTTCTGCATATGAGTCAAAATTGTGTATGAACACCAGTTAAGCTCTAGAAGTTTTGGCAGAGCATGCTGGTGACTGAAGCTTGAAGGTGTCCTATGCCTGAAATCAGCCCCTGCTTCAGCAGCTTCAAAGATCTCTGATACAATTTTATTCCAGAAGTCCTCAACAAACCATCTATTTGCTGCCTTCATCTTGACTTGCATGGTCTTAGAAAGACAGCTTCTGGAGCCCATAGTCTGTTCTGATGGGTCAGATTGCCCCTGCTCAGCCAGGTCGTGCTGAATTCGGAATGGCGTAGTTTTGTATCGTTAGGCTGATGGGTTGATGGCAGTTTGCAGGGTAGCAGTTCACATCAGACAGTACCTCAGTTCAGACAAAGCCTCACTGGGTTCTGTTGTTAGAATCATAGAATCATTAATGTTGGAAAAGAACTCCATCAAGTCCCAACTCTTGATCAAACACCACCATGTCAACTAAACCATAGCACTAAGTGCCACAGCCAGTCATTTCTTGAACACTTCCAGGGATGGTGACTCTGCCACATCCCTGGGCAGCCTCTTCCAATGCCTGACCACCCCTTCAGCAAAGAAGTTCTTCCTGATGTCCAATCTGAACCTCTCTTGTGTCAGCTTGAGGCCATTTCCTCTTGTCCTGTCTCTAGTTGCCTGGTAGAAGAGGCCAACCCCCACCTGGCCACAACCTCCTGTCAGGTAGTTGTAGAGAGCAGTAAGGTCTCCCCTGAGCCTCCTTTTCTCCAGACAAAACAACTCCAGCTCCCTCAGCTGCTCCTTGCATGACTTGCTCTCTAGACCCTTCACCAGCTTTGTTGCCCTTCTCTGGACATGCTCCAGCACCTCAATGTCTTTCTAGCAGTGAGGGACCCAGAACTGGACACAACACTCGAAGTGTGGCCTCATCAGTGCCAAGATCAGAGGAACAATCACTTCCCTAGTCCTGCTGGCCACACTAGTATATGCCAGGATGCCATTGGCCTTCTTAGCCACCCAGTCACACTGCTGCCTCATGTTTAGCCGTCTCTTGACCAGCACCCTGAAGTCCTTTTCCGCTGGGACTCTTTGCAAACACTCTTCTCTCAGCCTGTAGCGCTGCATGGGGGTGTTGTGACTGAAGGGCAGGACCCAGAACTTCTACAATTGGCCTCAGCCCATTGATCCAGCTTGTCCAGATGCCTCCTGCTCTCCAGCAGATCAACACTCCCACCCAACTTAGTGTCATTTGTGAACTTACTGAGGGTACCCTTCATCCTGTTGTCCAGATCATCAATAAAGAAATTAAAGAGGACTGGCCCCAATACTGAGGCCTAGGGAACAGCACCAGTGACCAGCCGCCAGCTGGATGTAACTCTATTCACCACTACTCTGGGCCCAGCCATCCAGCCAGTTTTTAATGCAGCAAAGAGGGCACCTGGCCAAGCCATGAGCAGCCAGTTTCTCCAGGAGAATGATGTGGGAGACTGTATTGGAGGCTTTACTGAAGTCCAAGTAGATAACATCCACAGCCTTTCCCTCATCCTGAAATGGTTGGTCATAAAAGGAGATCAGGTTGGTCTAGCAGGACCCACCTTTCCTAAACCCATGCTCTCTGAACCTGATCCCCTGGTTGTCACGTACATGCTCTGTGATGGCACTCAAGATGCTCTTTCAATTTTTGAGGTGAAGAGGAGGCAGACCTTCGTTTCAGGGCCTACAGTAAGACACAGCAACTCATAACTCAGGATTTTGGCAAAGGATTCACTGTAGCAATAGCAATAGTCCTTTCTGGATTTTATATTTGTTCTTTGGTTTGATTCTCTTCACTACAGTTCATCTGAACGTTGAAAACTGTTTAGTTATTTCCCCCCGTATGCTTTTAAATCTCTTAGTAGAGCAAGGAATCAAAATTGGTACTCTGTCTTTGTTTAGAAATGTTAAACTCTGAACCTACATTTCAGAGTTTACTACCTCCTCAGTCTGAACAGTAGTCTTCTGACAACAAGTTTCTTGATGGACTAATTTCCACTATCTTTAGTTACAGACATTCGTGTTTTCTTGATAACCTTTTTTGGCTTAACTGGAACCAGAAGGGTGAGAGTTGTGGACTGAATCCAGTTTATATGAATGTTATCTGATAAGAATACATAGTTATCTTCCTTAACCCTACTTCCACATTTTTTAGGGTTTTGTGACCCAACTTCAAGGTTCAGTTGGAGTGTTTTGTGACTTAAAATGACCTTTATTTATGAAAATCATCCCCTTCAGGCTCCATTCAACTTATTAGACAGAAAAGACATTTATAGAATTTTGATAAAATAAATTGCATCCCATGATGTTTATGAGATGCTTCTGTCATCAGCAGATGTGTGCAGCTTTAGGTTGCACCCCAGTGCTTTGTCTGAAGAGCTTTTTTATAGCATTTTGTTCTGGATGTCTTTTTTTTTAATTTCCACTGTTTATAACTCCAGTCTCATTTATTATCTTCACAGTTCCTATTCACTCTTTGATGACATGGAAGTGTTTTTACATGGTCTTGGTCTAGAACACATCAGAGGACTATTGAAGGTAATCTTGTGTGTCTGCTATCTGTCAAGTAATCCGTGAAAGCCAAATGCAACTACTGCATAATAAAAAGTTATATCACTATTAGTATATTAATTCAAGTAAATTTATTAAACAGAAGTTTATATATAAAATGGTAAGTTAAACTACAGTGGACTAAATTGAATTTCTTGATTATGTGCATTCATCACATGTGATGCTTCTAAACTAAACAACTCTTTCATTCCTTTTGTTCTTGAAAACTGAAGTAAAACAAGGAAAAACAATCAAGTGAAAACTGATTTCTTCTGAAATTCTTTTTGATGGTAGAAACCCTTTGTTTTATACAGGAACAAGATATAACTTTAAGAGAACTTCTGATCATGCAAAAAGATGACTTAATACAGGTCAGTTTACTACTTTAAAACTTAATTTACTTTTTTTCCTCTTTTTATAATGTTTTTAATGCCTTCTCTTTATAAATGTCTAACCTTGTAAGAATTCTTTCAGCATCTTCTGCAACTTCTTGAATTTTAATGTGAATATAGACAGACTTTCTATGAAGTGTGTAATCTAACAGATCAGTGAATGAGCAGGGTTAAGCAGGAAATAGTTCGGGTTTAAAGTTTTGTTGTTACCATTTTTAGTATTTAAGTATGATTTCCCTGAAAGGAAATCAGTGCTTGGATTAGCAGTACATAATCCTGAACTACTACTTTAAATGTAGTCCTCCTTTTGAGGTGGTAATTTTTGTTGGAGAATATGCAGAATCTCATATCCCAATCAGGTTTGTAAAACCTTACCAAAAAAAAGAGATTTTGTTTCTTTCAGTTTACTGCAGCTGGGAAGGTCTTTTACTGTTATCCAGGACTAAGTGATGTATATTACAAAACTTCAGTTTTCAGTGGAGATAGGGTGGTTGCTTTTCCTTAGTCTTTACTGGATTTTTTCATGTGGGAAACGAAAGACTTCCTGTGCTTACTGGAGGATGCTATAATAAAATCCGATTATAGGAGTATCCTTGGAACACCGTAAGTACTTCAGGCTTCAGAATTCTTCTGAGCACTCTGTGCTTGGTCTGGGATACCAGAGATGCCTCATTAAAACAGCTGCTTCAACACTGCTCCCTCCTGCTGATGTACTGCCATGTCCTTAGTGTCAGCTTTTTTTCTCCCTATCCTGGTACCATGGAGGCACATGTTCTAGCAGGTGGAACCAGAGTTTTATTCCTTCAGAGTGGATATCAACAAGGATGTTTTATTTGAAGTTTTGTCTTGTAACTGAGTACAGTTTAGTTGTTCTGACTGAACTCACAAGTAGCTCTGTATTCTCAGAGGGTGCATGTATAGGGAACTTTGTCAATTAAGAGATTTTTAAGAGTTCATTGTGCTGGTTTAAAGGTAAACTGGCAGGGGAAATGAACTCAACTCAAAGGAGAGATTATAAGTCAGAATAACAGTTTAATAAAATAATACAATAAATACGATTATACAGACAAACAGTTGGTTTTAACCCACAAAATCCAAATGTATAACCCAGCACCCTGGGGCATGAACAGAGTGGTGTTTGTTGGGCCCCAAGTCCAAAGTAAGACGAGAGGGAAAAACCTGTTGGTGAGAGTGATGACTGCAGTCTGGTCGAGAGTGGTGATTGCAGTCCGGTCAAGAGCAGTGATCTGCAGTCTTCCTCTGGATCCCACGAGTGGTTAAAAAAGTCCCAAGACTGCAAGATTATATATAACCTCCAGTTCAGGCAGGAATGCCCAGTACCTCCCTCAGGGCGGGGAGTTCCACAAAGGGTGTGAGGACAGGAGGCACCCTCCTATCTTGCAGGCCTCTTAACACCCAGTTTATAGCCTGAGGAGTCAGGCTGCTCTGGGCAGAGGGTGTAAATGATCTATTGACAGCAGTTTCTGGGAAATGGCATGGAAGGCTATAGAATACACAGTTTTGGGTTACACCCATCCAGTGATGAACTGGTCCCAGCTGTTCTAGGACGTTCATCTAGACCTTAACTCAATCTAGCCACTTCTGTTAGGGATAATAAGAAGTGCTTCTACAAATAGATCAATGGCAAAAGGAGGGGCAAGGAAGCCATACATTCTTTGGTGTGTGTGTGTGTGGGGGAAACATAGTCACCAAAGATGAGGAAAAGGCTGAGGTGCTTAATACCTTCTTTGCCTCAGTTTTCAACAGTAAGACAGGTTGTCCTGAGGACAACTGGCTTCTAGAGCTTGTAGGCAGAGCTAAGAAGCTGAATAGCCCCTCTATAATCCAGGAGGAAACAGTTAGCAACCTGCTGAGCCACTTAGATCCCCACAAGTCTATGGGACCAGATGGGATCCACGCAAGGGTGATGAGGGAGCTGCTGGAAAAGCTTGCCAAGCCGCTCTCCATCATTTACCAACAGTCCTGGCTCACTGGGGAGGTCCCAAATGATTGGAAGTTGACAAATGTCATGCCAATCCACAGAAAGGGCTGCAAGAAGGACCTGGGGAACTACAGGCCTGTCAGCCTGACCTCAGTGCCTGGCAAAGTTATGGAGCAGATCATCCTAAGTGCAATCACACAACACCTACAGGATGGACAAGGGATCAGACCCAGCCAGCACAGGTTTAGGAAGGGCAGGTCCTGTCTGACCAATCTGATCTCTTTTTATGATCAGGTGACCCACCTGGTGGGTGAGGGGAAGGATGTGGATGTGGTCTATCTGGACTTCAGCAAAACCTTTGACACCATCTCCCATAGCATACTCCTGGAAAAGCTGGCAGCCCATGGCTTGGACAGAGGCACTCTGTGCTGGGTTAAGAACCGGCTGGAGGTCTGAGCCCAGAGAGTGGTGGTGAACGGTGCTGCATCCAAGTGGCAGCTGATCACTAGTGGTGTCCCCAGGGATCAGTGTTGGGCCCAGTCCTGTTTAATATCTTTACTGATGATCTGGATGAGGGGATTGAGTGTACCATTAGCAAATTTGCAGATGACGTCAAGTTGGGGTGGAGTGTTGATCTGCTGGAAGGCAGGAGGGCTCTTCAGAGGGACCTGGATAAGCTGGAGAGATGGTCTGATTCCAGTGGGATGAGGTTCAACAAGGCAAAGTGCCGAGTCCTGCGCAACAACCCCATGCAGTGCTACAGGCTGGAGACAGAGTGGCTGGAGAGCAGTCAGGCAGAAAGAGACCTGGGAATTTGGATTTACGGGAAGCTGAACATGAGCCAGCAGTGTACCCAGGTGGCCAAGAAGGCCAATGGCATCCTAGCCTGTATCAGGAACAGTGTTGCCAGCAGGACCAGGGAAGTGATTCTTCCCCTGTACTCAGCGCTGGTGAGGCCACACCTGGAGTACTGTGTCCAGTTTTGGGCCCCTCAGTTCAGGAAGGATATTGAGGTGCTGAAGCAGGTCCAGAGAAGAGCAACTAGGCTGGTGAAGGGACTCAAGCACAAGTCCTATGAGGAGAGGCTGAGGGAGCTGAGATTGTTTAGCCTGGAGAAGAAGAGGCTCAGGGGAGACCTCATCACTCTCTACAACTCCCTGAAAGGAGATTGTAGCCAGGTGGGCATCGGTCTCTTCTCCCAGCAGTAGGACAAGAGGGCATAAGCTGCGCCAGGGGAGGTTTAGGTTGGATATTAGGAAGAACTTCTTTGCAAAGAGAGTAATCAGGCATTGGAGTGGGCTGCTCAGGGAGGTGTTGGATTCACCGTCCCTGGGGGTTTTTAAGATGAGACTGGATGTGGCACTTAGTGCCATGGTCTAGTAACCACGGCAGTGTTGGATCAAGGGTTGGACTGGATGATCTCAGAGGTCTTTTCCAACCGGGTTGATTCTATGATTCTAAATATTATAAGGCAAGTAATGTGTTCTGATGTTATTGCTTTTCTGAAGCCTCAGGATCAGTGGACAGCATCCTGGTGTGGGATTTATATGAATCCTAAAGCCCCTATTGAAAGGAATTTTGTTCTTAAAGGAGATACTTGTGGCTGCTTCTCATCCCTGTGTGAGCTGCTGTGTTGGTCATGATTGCATTAAACTGCAAATCTGACTGAGCATATGTTCATATTCATCATCTCCTTTGGTGTTGTAGTCATTGCTTTTTTTTTTGTCCAGGGGCCACTGGGGGAAGGGGATAGAATTGTGGAGTTTAGTGAATGACTAAGTCTTACAGTTCCTTCTCCAAAGATGTGTAATTTCACTCAAAATGATAGCTTCTCCTTCGTTGTTTTAACATGTTCGAGGCTCCCTATTTTAAAGACAAGCTGAAAGTTTTGAACAAACTGAAATAGCCAGCTGGATCAGCTGCTTCTGCACAGGAAGATAAAACAATTCCTGTAGGTATTGCCTCTTAATTCTGCAACAGCAGAAAACAGTTCCTGGAAAATAAGTCATGCTTTGTGCATGAACATAAATTAATTAGTGAGTCTTCAACTGAGAAGTTAAAAAATTATGTAATGCTCCTGGCTTAGTAGCACTTCAGAAGTTATCCTAAATTCTTGATGCAGTCTAGTTTTAGAGCTCTACTAACAGTTTCTCCCCATGCTGCTGATAGAACGAATCTAATCTTTTCCCTCGTAACTCCAGAGTTGAAAGTCTTTACTGTGATGGCAGACCTTCAGCTAACAGCCAGCTACTTTAAATAGCCTGGATCTTATTACTACAAAGATTAATGATGACCTCTGATGGATGCCTCTGAACCAAGCTGCTTTGTATCTAGAGAACTGGGGAGAAATCCTGTCACTATCATGATACACTTTCCTCCATCAAACAATATCAGAAAGATGTTTTCTCTGTAAATATCTTTATCTGTATTCTACAACAGAGCCTAAACAATGAGTCTTTCAAGCTGGAATCCTTGCATTCCTTAAGCTTATAAACTGTTCCATATTGAGACAAATCTGTTCAATATATTGGGACGTGTCTCTTCAACATTTGATGGGTTTTGTCTGATTCTGCACTACTCTTGACACTCAAATTTATTTATTTTTTTTTAAGCATCTCTTGTAAGATAGCAACAGAAGTGATTTTATGCCTAGGTGCATTTAGGACTGAAAAAAGGTTTCTTTCTCACATTTTATTTAATTTAGAATAAGAGAAGTCAGCACCCTGTTCTGGATTTGAGAACAAATGAAATGTATAATGAAAAGTTGACACATCAAAATTCAAAATATAATCCAGAAATTTAACTATATGTATTACCTGGTCTATGTGCTTCCATATCACAGTTCCGGGACTGTAACTCCTCTGCTCCCTGTCCCTGCAATAAAGCATTTAATATTTGACAGAAATGCGTCAGGTTATTAAAATTAGTGACCACTTGGGCAAGGTGGCAAGGATGTGAGAGTTCGTGCATAGCTTCACTGGTTTTATCTGAGTGGTATATTATCTTTCAGGTGTTGAGGCAATCTGTTATTCACCTCTTGTGTTGTTCATGCTGGAACGTGAGTTTGGGGCTTGGATTTTCAGTGGTTGCTTTTTATCTATTTAAATAAAGAATAAAATAGATGTTCTTTGAGTTGACGTAGCTAAAATTAAAATCAAGAGTGCACATAGTCTGTTTTACAGATATAAGCAAGTTCTTGTACAACACTTGTACATTCTTAAATATATGGCCACTTCACAATAATATTCTTGTAATTTGGACTGCAGAGCATCATTGAACCAACACCGACTTAAAAACTTGCTTATCCATAAAGAAGGGTTTGTCATACTGTGATTGTCCCATGCATTCATCATTGTGTGAACAGTCAGGTTCTGTGTCACCCTCACGTTCTGCAGAGATGGTCTAGAAAGGTAAAATATGTCTGCTTTCTGAAATAGTCTCGACTAGTCTATCAAATTCCTGTCTCTTAAGTTCCACACCTTTTACCTTGATATGCAGAACTGCTGTGGTGGTGGAAGGCTTTATCTGTGGTGACATTTATCACATTCTTTACTTCCTGAACTGTTTTTTCAAGATATGGTGGCCCTCAGTCAGTGATCCATTTGCAGAAGAACAAAGTACATCATCTTCCTGATATGCTGATCAGAAAGCTGCATCCTGATTTGCTGGTTTCGGGAATGAGAAGGTGGAGTCAAAAGCACACCCAATCTTCATAAGAGTTCCTGCTTTAAGTTTACTATTCAAGAGTAACTACCATTTTATAAATCAGCTTACATATACATGATAAGATAACTCCTGTAATGCTTTGTAAGCATTAAGAAAATACTGGTTCATATCAGATAGGGCTCCACAAGGCAAACGTGAGAGCTAATGAATTGAGCAAACTTACGGCTTGACATAAGTAAAGCAAATAATTTCTAGGAAACCCAGACCTTTCTCTCTTAAGGCTGCTAATGATATTTGCTAAAAAGACTTCAGTGCATTTTGTTCAGGTACCCATGATAACCTACTGGAAACTCAAAAGTTCTTGACACCTGTACTTAAATTCCCAATAAATCTTGTTGGGATTTTACCTTACCGAAGAGCTTACCTGTCTGTACACTTACGGTTTTAAAATATTTAAAGACACACTTGTGAGCCCGTAGTTATTTGTTACCTGTGATTGGTGGAGAACTCGGAGGACAGTTTTATGCAGTCATGATGAACACTGGGTGTTACAAACGATAGTCTCAGAATAAAGCAAGCATTTCTCCAGGGACTATCTTTTTCTTAGAGTTTTGATCTGATGTGTGTTGTCAGCTGTTCATTCAAAATTCTTTCTGCAGTAATTGCAGAAATCTGTGATACTCTGAATACTAACATCTTATAGATTTCTGAGGCTGCAGAAGGGAGCTTCAGGACCTCAGACCATCAGTGAGAGTCCTGTATGTCCTAGCATTGGAGACTCTGGGATCCTTGCATTCTCACATTCCTGAGTGGTCTACTCCCGCTGAATCCAGGTACTCAGCTGGAAAGTTAGGAACAAAGTCATACTTGGAGACGGCATTATGAGGTTTTTCACTTTTCTGGAGGAGAATCTTAGGGCTACTAGCACCAGAAGTCCTGTCAGATGAGCAAGGAAAAGTATTGAATGTGCCACAGAAGCATTTCCCTTTAAACAAAAGGACTATTTTTTTAATTTACTTAAGTGTTCTGCAAGAAAACTCTCAACCTAGGATTTAAATATGACTTACAATTTAATCTGAGATACTTGATGAATAGCACAGCTGACAGTGTTTTCTATATCAGGCATTACTTGGAGAATTTTAGTTACTAGTGGTTTGTTTTTTGGTTTTTTTTTTTGGAAAATTGTGATTTTCTTCAGTTAAAAAAAGGCCACTTTCTGTAAAATTCTCCAACTGATGCTGATTTGATAGTTTCTTCTCTTTCTGAGTTAATGCTGTATCACCATTATGATGATTCATTATTTTGCTGTCCCAGATGATGCTGATGATTCTGAAATAGATAAGCCTAGCGTCCTAACAACACAGGGGTACTTATACAAGCTGCTATTAATTTTTCTTAATAAATCCTAATCAGATTTTCTGAGTATCTTGTGCAATTTCAATTTGGCAGTTTCTCAGCTCTTGTAATTCTGTTCTGCATCAGGTATTTTTTGTGGTTTTATTTTTTTCCTTGGCAACTAACGTACGTTGTAATTGGTTGTAATAACTTAAAAACAACTTCTTTTGGCTCTTAATAATTAGAAGCTCATGTAATAAATGATACTGTACTGTTATGTCTAATAAGTATTAAAAGTAAATTGTATTTGGAACTACTCTTTAAATTTAGATTGGCATTACAAATCCCGGAGATCAAGAGAAACTCCTAGGTGCTATTAATGAGCTGCAAGTGGATGAAAAAAGAATTGAAGACTTCTCTGAAATTCTGAAGCTGGAATTGAGGTATTAACTGTATATCTGAGGAAATGGAAGTGAAATATTAACTATTTAAGATGACTGCATTATTTTCTGTTGCTCAAAGGTAAAATTCTCTCACACCTTATCCCATGCATAGCATTCATAAGAATATGCTAGTTAGTGGATTATGAGAGCTGGTGGTAGGTGTGTTTTTTATAAAGAACATTGGAAGCATAGACAAGGCAGGTTCTGTTAGTCTTGCAATCAAATTTTTCTGATTGTAAGGTACAATAAAAAGATGTGTGGGAAGGAAAGATGCATATAATTTCTGCATAGGGCTTTAATTTTGAACTGATAAATTAAATGTTGTACATGTGTATCTTAAATCATACGTGTTATTTCCATATAGATTCAGGACTTTCTTGTTGTTTTTTTCTTCCACTGGAAGCAGTTTTAACTGGCTTCTAAAATATCTCATTTTTTTATCTTACAAATTAAGCACTTCAGAAGTTGTTGGGTTTTTTTTCCTTATCATAGATTATATGTATCAGTAGATTTATAAGGAAACTTTTTTTAGGGAAATGTTACTCCTTTAAATTTCCATTTCAACTAGATATTTTTTGCCATTGTAGTCTTTAAGCATCACCTCTGCAATACCCGTCATACTTTTAGCATAGTCTTGTGCAGTACCATGGAAGCCAGGCCTGAGCTGAGAGGTACATTGCTCAGCAACATTATTAAACTTAATCAGTTCTCTAAGCACTGACTACTCTCTAGAGCACTCCACATCCAGCACAAAAAGAAAAATGAAGGATATAGTAAGTACAAAAGGAGTACTAGGATTTCTTGAACCTCTTACCCTTTACGTGTAAATATATTTTTTTTCCAGAAGACACACCTCGACTTTAGTTTAGATTCTGTGCTCATACCTTTCCTCTTCTTACTTCGCCGAACTATGGAACAATAGCTACTGAAAATAGGATTAGACAGTAAGGGTTGAGTTCCTCTTTAAGGTGTATTTATCTCCCTCTTGACTAGTGACCTGTCAGTTGTGCTGCTACCCTCTTAGATATTCTTTCCTCTCCAAAAACACTGGGGAGCACTGTTGTATTATTTAGGTGCTATGAGGCTAGACTCTGTTAGTTATGTTGTTCATTGAACCAAAGAATGTGCTTGGGTTCAAATTCAGTCTGTACATGTCACCATGTTTTGGAGGCAGCTGAATCACACCGCAACTGTGCATTAGGTGAGAGAGTTGGGATTGTTCAGCCCGGAGAAGACAAGGGTCCAGGGAGACCTTAGGGAGGTCTACAAAGGGGACCTTCAAGACCGGTGGAGAAGGACTTTTTACAAGGGCATGTAGTGATAGGACAAGGGGGAATGGCTTCAAACTGATGGAGGGCAGGTTTAGATTAGATATAAGGCTGGTGAGACACTGGAACAAGTTGCCCAGAGAAGCTGTGGATGCCCTATTCCTGGTAGTGTGTTGCAGGGACACATTAGATGGGGCTTCAAGCAAGGTGTCCCTGTCCATGGCAGAGGGATTGGAACGAGATGATTTCCAAGATACCTTCCAACCCAAACCATTCTATGATTCTGTGATTCTCCATCAAAACAAGTGGGTATTTTCACAAGAGGATCCAGGTGCAAGCTTGTGCTGTAAGACTGAAGAACTGAAGTTTCAGCATGCAAGAACGAACTAACTAACTAAATAAATAAACCAATATGATATCGATACACCATAAATAACTTTAACAGCATCTGAGTCATTCCTATTAAAATCGAGACTTTTAAGGGGACTTTGCTCAGTTTAAGCTTTATCCATTTTTAAGTTAAAATGTGTGGGTTTTTTAGATTGTTCCGTAATAGTGTTCAATATACACATTCAAACAGAGCTGCTGAAAAATTTGAACAGAGGGAGCAAGTGGAGAAATACAAAAAATTATCCATTCACTGCATGTGTGGCCAAATACAATAAAATACCCAAATGGTATCTAGTGCAGTCTCACATGCCAGTGACATATGTAATTCCTAGTACAGTGTGGGTTAAGATCATAGGAAGTTCTCTAAAGCAGAAAATAATTGATTGATTGAAGATGGAAGTACACAAAATATGACAGCATTTCAATTATGGCAAGGACTGCATAGTTTTTTAGAAAATAGCTTGACATGTATTCTAGGAATCTGACCTTGAGACTAAAATCATAGGCTATGTTTACATGCTATTATATAAAGATTTTACTTCCCACTTGTTCAAAGTCATTCTGTGAGAAGGAAAATCAGTCATTAGGTCATAGAAAAACTAACATAGTAGAAAATGTTGAACTGATTGATTATAAACTCAGAGAGTGTCTAGTGCTGTTTAACCACTGATGTTTTGACAGCCATTAATTCTTTTTAAAAGTGATAATTTTTTGAAAACATTTCTAAATATAAGAACAAATCACTGCAGTGGGTATAAAATTATATGAAAATGGGCCAGAGGGGGAGTTAAACTGTTAAGAAGTGAAGTGGTATGAAAAGAATAAATGTATTTCTTTCTTTCTTTCCCCCTCCCAAATTGAAGCCCATGCCACTCTTTATATTTGCTGAGAACCCTTCCAGAATTCCAAAAAATAATTTCCTTTATGATGAAACACAGAAGGTGCCATAGCTGATCCCAGACAGCTAAAAAGTTATCTTTCTGAGTAGAAGGAAATGTTTGCGATTATGACTTGACTGTAGTAATGTGAGAGAAACTTTGAGACTATCTCCAGATGTTTAGCATTTGGGTTTTTACTCAAAATACTCAGTTCAGTTACATTGTTCTGAAACAAATAACAGTTTATTTTGTAAAGACGTACTAATGGGCATTCTTACTTCCCCATCTTCATGAAAACCATGAGCAGTCTTGGTTTTAAACCGCCAGCATACCTACTAATGCATCTAGATATTTCTGTTTTAAATGTTAAAGTCTTAACAGTTCAGCACTGTTGCAAATCACAGATGTCCTGAGCAGTGGTTGAAACTTTACTCACTAATGATCCTGTGCCAAAGTTGAAGGAAAGCCTTCTATGACACTATGGGCTAAATTCCATCTCTGTTTAGATACTTGCACTGCACTGACACGTAGCTTAGTTTACTGGTTTGGCAAATTTCATGGATACGTTTTTGCCCTCAGAAGCAAGTAAGATGGTGTGTAAGCATGTTGCATTTAGGTTTAATAGCAGATTGCCCTAGGGAATAGAGGAGTGTTGGGATCTGAATTGGTTTATTCAGATCCTATGGATCTGCAGAAGAGGAAGTTCTGCAGTAGGAACGTATAAATAATTATCTCTTGTTTTGGCTCTACCTGTTATTCACCCAAATGGCTCAGAGCTAATGGAGACTTTTCTACTGGAGATACAGGCACTTCTCAGGAGTTTTTCAGGGCTTGAGAGGTCATTCTGTAAAAACAATTAGATGATCTTCCTTGCCCTCTTTACCTCTTCCTGGTCAATAGCAAAAAATTTCTGGCCAGCACCATGACTTACAACTAAAATTCTCTGATGCTTCCAGTAATGTTGAGTCAGTGTCACATGGAACCTCTAGAATCCTAATGTTGAAATTAATCCCTTTTCTCCACTCTTTGAAAATTGGTTTGATCAGAGTTGTCTTCCTCTTTGTATTTGAGCACCAAGTATAAATGTTCTTCCAAATAGGTAACATCAGATATTTTAGGCCTTTGAGGTACATGTTTTGAAATCCAAGGGCCAAGCCAGTATTATTGAATTCTTATCTTATTACACTGTGCTGGAGACTAAATGACTCTAAACCTATTCATTTCAGTCTTAGCTCTAAAAGTAGAAAGCAGGTTTTTTTTTCCTCCCATATCTGCCTCAAAAATGTAAGCTGCAGGTCAGAAATATTGATAAAATTGAGTACAAGTTCTCTCTTTTTGGTGTTGCAAGACTTGGATTTGTGCGCACACACACACACACACACACACACACACACACAGGAAAATAGAGTGTTGCAGTTATTATCCATAGTGAGTTACAAAATTACGCAGCAGGTAATGAAATATTGCAATTGATAATACAGTCTTGATGAGAGTTAGAAATGAAGGTTAATAGAATGTTTCTGAAAAGGTTTTGGGTGACACTTTTTCAGCTTTTAGTGTGTCTTACTAGCTAAATATTCCAAGTAACTTAATAATTTATTGTCCTTCCAAAAAAAAGGGGGGAAGAGGGGAGAAACAGAACAAACAAGGAAAAAGAAAACTTGCTAAGATATTAAAAGTAATCTTTAACTACTCTGTTAAAATGACATTGGGGTTTTTTTGTATGTGATGAAACTGCATTTCTGACTCACTAGCCAGTGTTGGAAATGCATATGTAATATTTGGCTTGCAAAAGGTGCAGCATTTTGACAAATAACAAAATTTTGCTTTATTTTTGTAGTGAAGATGAATTCTACAAGTTTCTTCAGAAGCTGAATAAAGAGTGTAGTAAGCTGATCGTTCCTGTGCAGACCATGAATAAGCATTTTCTCAAAAATTCGCACAAGGTATTAAACCAAAGAAGAGAAGATTGATTTAGAATCTGTTATTCTATCTTTTAAACTGAAACCTATGAACACTTATCAACTGTCTTGGTTATTATATAGCTATATAGAGCTCTCTAGTGCTCTTTCTGTAAAGGACACTTTTAAAAAATAATTTATTTCAAAGAGTTAAGCCACCCAATTAAAGGAGATAAATTTGTTTCTTTATGTTTCTGCTGATAGGAGAGTTAATGTGACAAAAGTTTTCAAGAAACGCTGCTAAAGAGTAGTAGATTATGTTGTGCGTAAATCGTACAATTAAAACCCAGCATAAATGCAGTTATAAACTTTTTCTTGCACTATCTTTTATGATACATTAACTGAAGAGTATTAAACTATAATCTAAAATTATGTAATTATGGCAAATAACTGTAACTATTAACAGATGGTACTGCAGTGGGCACCGACTGAAACTTACATTGAACTCTGCAAAGATTTGGTTTGCAGTGTTAAGAATCTGGGAGAAGAAGTTGCCAAACTGAAGGACCTGCTAGTGAAGGTGAGTGTGTGTGAGTAAGGCTGTTAAATACTGTGTACAGGTTTCTAATGCAACCTCAGATGTGACACCATCAGGGAAATGTTTCATACGTTAGTCTGCCACAGGCTCTTTATCCTTAGCTTGGGCTGCATCCACCTTTCCCCAGACAGAATGAGAAATAATCTGGAATATTCCACAGCAGTGTGGAGAGCCTCCAAAGGAAGGCACGATCTACCTTTTTCTTTCTCCCTCAGGAAAGAATAGTGGAATGTGTCCCTGCACTCTTGGGCGACCGTTGTGGCATAAAGGCCATGCTGGATAGTGACATTCTTTTTAATTAAGGAATCTTTTGTTTGGAATTATTGACTCACAAGGAAGATACTAAGGTTTTATAGATTGAATGGGAGGCATCCCAGATAAGTCTGTGGAGTGACAAAAGAAGAGGGTGGGAGAGGTCAAGGCTAGATGTTAGCACCATATCAGTCATTCTCAAACCAACACAGTGACACACTCTTGTCAGATGGGGTCATTTTAAGTAACAGGGTAGTAAAAGGAACGGCCGCTGCGGTAGAGTAAATGGAGCATCAGTGTCAGAAAGGAATCTGTTGCTGAACGAAGCCATGTGGAACTCAGACCTTGAGTATAATGCTACTAATGCAATTTCCTGTAGTTTAAGTAAATTTAATGTAATATAACAGCCTTCTCCCAATAAATCACTTAACACCAAATATATTAAGAGGGAGAGATTGTGGCAAAACACTTATTAGCCATTTGTTTCATTTTTTGCATATGCAATAATCAATTGTGTATATATTTGCCTCCTGTGTGTGTGCAGGCTAGTTATAAGGGCTGGGAGAGATCTGAGTTAGGTGCCACTTGACGTTGCTTTTATCTGTGCCTAAGGTTTTATAGCTATCAAGATGAAGCATAATGTCTTTGTATCCAGTGAAACAGCCTTCTAATTGTTTAAAAAATACAGTTTTTGTTTTTTAAAATCCTATTATGTTTTATGAATTTCAGTTATGAAGGCTTTAATACAAAACATTTTTGTGCTACTTAATTTATGATGAGACACTTTGGAATGTAGAGCACCCAAATGTTTATTATGAAAAGTGCAAATTTAAGTGAAACAGTTAAACCACTTATATAAAATGTTTGTATAAACTCCCTTAAAGTCTTCAGTATTGTTTGCTAAGCTTAGTCATTACAAGACTTTGTCAGCAGTACATGTCTGTAGCATATAGTTTTTGAAAGTACAGTAAATAAGATGGCCTTCTAATCATTATGAAGTAAGGTAGGAAATCAGAACCTAACCCTGCTGCCCTTCATGACAAAGCTCTACTCAGCTTCAACATGTATTTGAGCAGGCACTTGTAAGGTACTTTCCATGGTCCCTTTAATTTCAACAAAGGCTAGTGTGTTACATATTTAACTTGCTCTTTTAATAATTGTTTTAGTAATTAAATGGCAAAAGTTCTGGTTAAAACATTTGACTACTGGACTTCACTTGTTTTGTTACTAGGTTTTTGTAGCATCTATTAGCCGTGTTTTATTCCTGAGTAATTAAGTTTGTAAATGAACAGTTTGTTTTTCTAATATATATTACAGAATGTTTGAGTATTAGATAATATAAAGGTTTACACACTCATCTGTTTCAGTTGAAGTAGGACAGAGACAGAAAGAAATAATATCAAATCCTAGATGCATGTGAATTCTTAAGACTGGGTACTTTATAACCCACTTAATAAAATACTTCATAAACTTTCACACTAACACTTTTTTTGTTGTGCTTTTTATGTGAACTTAACATCTGCCTCAGCATGAACAGAAGAATGAACCCAACCAAGTGAAACTTCCAAAAAAAGCAGCCACCTTGGAAAAAAGATTAGTGAAGATGGGAGGGGTAACATTACTTGGATTTGGTTTTTTCTTCTTTATAACTAAATTAGTGGTAAAGAAAACCTGAATTTAAGTTTAGTGCTGTTTCTCATCATATCTGTAGTAGTATCAAGTATGTACTTTGATCTAGAAATAAAGTTATTAAAAATTAAAACTGTTACTTAAGAGTATCTTATGCATTTATTTTGAAAATTTTTTGTATACAATGTAGGTCTAAAATCCTGTCAAAGCTACTTTTCTTTTTTGGCTTAAAGTTGTGATTATTGCTTACTAATTACTAGTTTCATTTTTTTTACTTTTAGCTGTTTGGAGATGAACATAAGCAAATTCTTCTGATTATATCACATGTTTGTATTTAAAATTATAATGCGGATGTGTTTTGGGGGTTGGGAGGGTTTAAAATATTTTAAGTATCATATTCAATGTTATATTGATAAAGATCTTTTTTCTTGCAGAGAGATATACTTTTTTTTTTCTTTTCACAATCAAGAGGACTGTGGAGATCTTTTTACACATTGCCTAAAAAGTAATTTCCCACTGAACTATGATATTCAAATTATGCCTGAAATCTGTTTCCTTAGGAATACTCACTTCTATTAAGAGTTTCATTACATCTATTAAAAGGATTATAACAGTGCTTTGCTGTAAGAATGCAGGCAACTTAGAAGGCATAGCAGCATGTTTTTTCTTGGTCTGGTCTTTCACTACGAATTTTTTCTTAATATTTTGTCCACTTAAAAAGGTGTTTGTAATCCCAGAGTGAAGCATTAATAACTGGTTTTGATCTGCTCTACCAAAACAGCTATGTTGGAAAAAGGGGAATTGATGTAAGTGAATTCAAATCAGTTATGTTTTTGCAGACTTCAACAAACATCTTTAAAAATGCAAAATATTTTGGAAGGGACTTTCTTCTATCAAAATGAAACAAAAGGAGTCTGAAAAAACATAGACCTGGATGGATGTGTTACACTTTAGGTCTCTGAGTTTTCAGAAATGTTGTGTGGAATCTTAGTCTTTGGTATTCTCTCCAGAGACCAGTAAGGAGAAGATAAAAACTTGAGTGCTATTCCAATTGCTGTAACTGCAGATTTCTGCTTTTTATTTTACTGCATTGGGTGTTAGTATGTTTCCTTGTTACTGCAGTTGTTTTACCTCCTTTCCTCACAGGTTTCTCTTTCAATGCAAGGAAAATCCTACAGAGTGATGAGGTTAGAGGAAAAAAGAACATCAGTTGGGATTTTTTTTCTGTTCTGCTCCCCGTTTTGGGTTAGAGGGGATAAGCTGTATTCACCACCACCATCTGCCAGCAGAAGTGGAAGTGAACATACTATCAGCCTGAACAAATGAAGTATAAAAAAGGAAATGTTTGAAAAATAGTCTTCTGTTTCTTCATAATACCTTAGAATTAATCCTAAACTAATAAGATAAGTTTTGCAAAAGGAAGAACCTTTTATATATGCACCACTCTTTCTCTGATTAGCTCAAAATACAGTTCAAATGCAGTTGCCCAGTGATGGGATGGCTCACAGGTGTTACTAGAACTTTGACAGCTAATGTCTTTTGGGTGTTTCTGTTGCATGAAGTTGTTGGGGTTTTGGGGGGTGGATAGTGGAGGGGGAGTAGGGAGCCATGTTGCTCAGACTATGTTTCCAACATGTACTTTTTTATTAGTTAAGTGGAATTATTTCAACCACTAGTAAGATTTCTGTGATACTGCACTTGAAGAGATTCTGCTACTTAGCCCTTACTTCTCCACTTCAGTGACAATTTGCATTAACAAAGCCAGTGCAAAGAACACTGAACAAAGCTTCCATTTCGAGAGATGTGTTTCCTGTCACTGGTAGATCTTGATATTTGAAACAGTAAAAATTTAAACTATTATTTTCCATGAATTTTAAGTAAAGATCTGGTCATATGGAGGGTTTTTAAGCTAAACTTGGAGGTCTTGCCATTGAACAGAAAATATGCTCTGGAAAAGTTTTATCAGTGTTTAACTAAATTATTATGCCTTTGGTGTAAAATAATTATGTGGGAAAAAATAATGCATGATAGTTGCTGCTGATAATTTTTTTCTAATTTGAGAGTTACAATAAAATATTCTTTGCAGAAATGAGTCAAAGGTCTGAACTCTAGGAGAAGACCTCCAAAACACATTTGGAAGAAGATGGTCCTTTTAAATTATCTTACAGATCACCTGTTTCAGATGCTTATAGCCATGACCGCAAACACACATGTGAACATCATTTGGGTTAAACATAGGCTTTGTGCCAGCAGCATTCCTGGCATCGTGCACCGTTCAGGAAGTGTTCAAAACATCATAAACCACTCACAAGAAGTAGGGTCTTGGAGTAACCACTTTAAGTTGTATTTGTTAATTGGTCAATCAGGAACTGCGTTGCGTGAAGAGGACATGCTAAGAGCTAAATGAGCAAAGATTATTTTGACCTAGCATATAATAAAAAAAGATTAAAATTGTATTTACTTCCTTGGATTCCAAACTCGGGCTTAAAACAATGAGTTTCAAGATCCTTTATTCACTTTCATGTTGTTGCAGTACCTCTTTCAAATTCTCTGACAAGGTATCACAATATGGTGGAGATAGGGCAGGGAGCAAAGAAAAAGATTCCTTCAACATCTGGCCCCTGAGCTACACTGTTAAAATTCTCACCCCCACCAGCACTGAGGGAGCCTTCAGATGAAAATGCCCCTGCTGAGACACCTCCTTCTGTAAGTCATCAAATTGAAGTCATTATCCCAGAACAGTAAGAATACAATGATTTGCACATCTATGAGGGGATTGGAGGAGAATGCTGAAGAGCTTTGCATGTATTAAGCAAGTAAGATGTGCAGCCCTGCTGGTATTGTTCTCCTCTTACAGTAGTGCAAATTGAGGTGTGGAGGATTGAGTGAATTGGACCTGGGGCCAAGTCCTGTGGATACCTAGGATGAAGCTGCATCGAGGAGGTTCCTACTTGCAATGCCATTGGATACCTAACTTGTCTTGATACGGATGACTATCTATACAATGGTCTTTTCTGAATCTTTAATCTGTTATGTAAAATGAGGGCCTTGGGTCATCCTTTGAAGATCTGAAAGAACCTAAAGAATTTTTTTTTTCTAATTTTCCTGTCCCAAGACACTCTGCGATTTGTGTGTGTTGTGTCTCTCTTCCTCTGCTTTGGGATTTGCCCCGTTCTTTAAATTTGACTTGTGGAGTACATAGGCTGTCAAAAGGCATTGCCCAGTTATTCCTGTTGGCTACCAATTGCAAGTAATAAAGAGTAGTTTGGGGTATGTGTAATTCTTAAATTGAGAAAGAGTGATTTTTTTTTTTTTTAACCACATTCTCCATTTACTTAAGCACGTGTTTGGTTTTTCTTCTTTTATTTCATCCAAGTGCTTTGTTGAGGACAAGACTAAAAATGTGCAGTTTATTATTTTTCATCTTGTCATCTTTGAACCACTTTGAACCTTCCCCAAAGCTGTCACTTGCTCATAAGTGTGAATAGGTGTTTGCTTACATTTGCCTTCTCTGTTCCAGCAGTTCTGCAAAAGCTACAGGTTGTCTTTCCCAAATAAAGCTGCTGTGTTAATAGTAAAGTACTACAAATGTTGCTTTGGATCTTTATGTACCAATAAGAAGCCACAAAGGTCTAACAGGTATCATAACTGCAGGCTTCTGCCTTTAAAGGCATGTACTGTCATTTCTTTTTTCTGGAGGCATGATGGAAGTGTATATATGAAAACTTATATTTCCCTATTCTAGAAGCAGGAATTTCCAGGTAATGGGGCTCTGAATTGATAAGCAGTGAGATATGAAAAGGGGTATTACTGACATAAATTAATAATGTGATGTGTATCCTTAACAGATTTAATAGCAGTTAAATTACTTCAAATTTTTATCCTGATTCAAATGGTGGTTTCATATAATATAGAGCCATAGTCCCTGGAGGTGGGACTTACCAGGGATCCCTCTGGGTAAGGATTTTCAGTTCTTTTAAGCTGTGCTACTGGCAATGATATATATGGGAAGATGTATTCTACTTAAGAGTTTAGTAGGGTTTTTTCTTACTAATTTTTCTCAGACGAGCCTTCCATACCTTCAGCTTTCCTGAAAACAGTCTTTATTCGAATGTAGAAATACAGGTTTAGCTACATTATTTTCACTATTGTATTGAAAAATCTCAGCTTGATTTCATAAGGTGTGCAGAGAATTGGGCTTTCAGTGTTCTGGCTACTCTGCTGTCACCTGTGTTGCACCTGTATAGCATGATTTCTTAACTGGATGAGAAACTGTGTGCACATAATACTTGTTGAAGGCGCAGCTTTCTAGATCCGGTCTGTGCTTGCAGCAAGGAAGGCTGGCAGCCTCTCCAGGGCTGTGTCAGGAACCAGCAAACCCTCACATGAGACAGTCCTCCACGAACTTCTTCAACATGAGCCCTTCTCACAGGCTGCAGTTCTTCACAAGCTGCTCCAGCCTGGTTCCCTCACATGGGGCGCAATCCTTCAGGAACAGACTGTTTCAGTGTGAGTCTTCCACAGGGTCACAAGTCCTTCCATGAGCCTGCTCCAGCGTGGACTTCTCATTGGGTCACAACATTCTTCAAGTATCCGCCTGCCCTGGTGTGGGGTCCTCCATGGGCTGCAGGTGTATCTCTGCTCCACCACGGACCTTTGTGGGCTGCGGGGGCACAGCTGCCTCACCATCGTCTGCACCATGGTCTGCATGGGAATCTCTGCTCCGACAGCTGGAGCACCGACTCTCCCTTGTTTTTCACTGACCTGGGTGTCTGCACAGCTATTTCTCTCACATAGTCTAACTCTCTGTTTGGCTGCAATTGCTGTTACTTAGAGGTTTTTTCCCCATTACTAAATAATTATCCCAGAGGTGTTGCCACCATCACTGATAGGCTTGGCCTTGGCCAGTGGTGGGTCTGTCTTAGAGCCAGCAGGCATTGGCTCTGTCAGACCTATGAGAAGCTTCTGGCATTTTCTCACAGAAACCACCCCTGTAATGTCCCTACTACCTAAATCTGGCCATGAGAACCAAATATGGTTCCCCAGTCCTCCTTCCAACCTTGCCTGTTCTGCCGTGTGTAATGAAAGAGTGGTTGATAAAAATAATGGATCCAAGGTGAATTTGTGTAGGACCAGCACAAAATAGAGCTTGGAGAAGGAATCTGAACAGCAATAAAGCTGCAATGCAGATGTGGTAGAGAGTTGTGGAGAAGAAAAGGACATCACTGATGAGTTGCTGGTGCAGTTGTTACAAGTAAAGGAGCTCCAGTTAGTACAGAAGGGTATCTCAGAAATTCTAATAGGTCACCTTTTTACTGCAAGCCTGAGAAGGCTGGTAGCAGTGAGGACTGTAGCCTCTGCTTGCAGGGATCTAAAATACTGCTGGAATTTGCTGTCCTCTCACTGGCGTTTC